TGTGGCAGGCTCGACCTCAGACAAGAGGGCGAGAAGGGGGAAGCTCGCAGGGGCTCACGGAGGGGAGCTCACACAGGTGCTTTTCAAAAGAGGTCACTGGCTCCAGCCGGACAAGTTGTGGACGTTATCCCCTGGTCCTGGTCCCATATCCACTCCCCCCCCCCCTTTCCACCGGAATGATGGAAATTTCGAGTCGTCCCGTCTTCTTAGCGCGGAAGGACGCGCGCCTTATCTCTGAAGGTTGCAGCACACGCGAGGATGCGCGGCGCGGGCGCCCCTGGAGTTTCCAGGAGCAGTAGGGCACGGCCGCTCGCGGGCTCCAGGAGGAGGCTCGTTTCGTAATAATGAGGCAGGCTCTGCCTGGCGCAGGCCTGCTGCTGGCTCGCTATGCGCCGCTATGCCCGGTCAGGCGGTCCGCGGAGGGCCGCGGAGGGCCGCGCGGCGGACGCAACCTGCTGAGGCTACCGTGCTGGCGGCCCGATGGCACCACGATGGCTCGGCCCGCGCGGCTCCACCACACACTCGCTGGCTGCTTGTCGCCTCGCCGGCCCGAGCAGGTGGTGGAAGACGCGGACAGACGCGAGAACCAGCGTGACTACTATTCAAATCCCCCGCGCAGATACGTGCCTTCGCCGCGCGGCCTCGTTCGTGTTGCTCCGGAGCAGCAGCAGCAGCAACAGACACGCCCCGCGAGAGCGGGAGGCGCGAAGCGACACGGCGCCGACGCGCGCTGCCGGCCCCGGTCCGGCCCCGAGGCTCCCCCCTGACACGGTTCGGAAAAAGAGAATCTCGATCGCAACGCGAACCGACGCTTTATTGGCGTTGTTTGAGCCACACTTCTCGTTATGTGATGGTGCCTGGTTCGGCCGGACCCGCGGCCGCGGCGCCCTCCAAGGGGAGCACGGCGTCGTCGTCCCGGAGTGGAGCAAGGCGCGGCGGCCGGGGCCCTCGCCGTGAGTGATCGCCGACCTCACGCGCTGATGGCTTTACGCCCCGACTCGCCGTGGAGCTAAATCAAAATAATTGAGGTAAAGGGGGATGGGCGGGCGGGCGAGAGGCGCGGCTGCGGGGTTTGCGCGGGTGAGTGGAGTGGATGCGGAGAAAAAAAAATCCCGCCGAAGGTATCCTTCGGGATCGCGGCTGGAGCTGCTGGAAGGGCTCTGGCCCGCACGGCCGCGACCAAAGAGGGATCTTGCTGCTCGTTTGGGACCGCGTGCGTCGTGCGGAGGGACGGCCGAGGATGTCGCAAGGTCGGCGGAGAGCGCTCGCCAGTCACAATGGACTGCAGCAGTGGAACGGATTAATACTCCTGCAGCTGCCCATCTTCAACCCCACTCCCCACCCCCTTCTTATTATTTTTTTTTTACCCCTGCAGCACTCCGGTTTTTTCCATCACATATTTCGGATTGCATGCATTTTATTGTGTCCTTCCAACTTTACCTTCCCTTAATCATCCGCGCCTCACTCCTTTATTATTACGATAACTAAATCTACAAGCCCGTTTCGGGGGCGCGAGCGAAAAAGTGACACACCCCGCCTTTTCAAGCGGTGCGGCGCTGCTGCTGCGGCGGCGGGCAGTTTTGTGCCGATAGTATAACGAGATGCCGTGGCGACAGCGTCAGCTGCTGGCGCCTGTTGGCGCCCTGCGCCTCTATTCGCAGCAGTTTACTCAACGAGTCGACTGACGGCTGCTGCTGCTGCTGCTGCTGCTGCTGCGGATAAGTTTTGTCACCCGCCCCGGACGTTTATGGCCCAGAGCAGCTGGCGATGGCCCGCGCGGTCCTGCCCAGCCCAGCCAAGCTCTGCCCAGCGCGGCTCCGCGCCGTGGAGCTACCCGCCACTTGAGCAGTCCGTTCGAATCTCGGACCGAAACAAAAACTCGGCCTTTGAGGCGTGAATGATCATGATTGACCCCCTCGGCGCGCCGTTTGCCTGCTGCTGCCCAACAAGAACAAACTATAAAGCGGTGTTGTTGTTGTTGTTCTTGTTGTTGTTTGTTGCGGTACCGTTCGGCGAGGCCCGCCGTGATGAAAGCCTATGATTCATGTCGACCAGAGCCGGGGCAAATATTCAGAGTCAGAGGCGTTCATGTTCTCTTATTGTAATATCATTGCGACAGGAAAACCTTCATGGTGTGCGGTCAGCTCAGCTGGCCGGGGCGGGGCGGGACGGGGAGGGCGCCCGCGCGCCGCCAAACTCTTGAACGGCGACGTATATGTAACAGACACGTCTTTTGAAATTGGTCGCGGCACCACACATTTTTCGCGGTCAGAGCGCATAGGCAGGCACCAAAACATTTCCGCAGTCCAAAACTTTCCGGTCGATCCAAAGGGGGGGAATGACACCCGCGGACGCTTTATGTCGCAAAAAGCAATTTATGGAAGTAACTGTACACGCACAAAGTTGACGATTTCCTCCTCACCCTCAAAGTGGCATATTGCGATGCGACATCAGCAGCGCTTCATCCAGGACCGTGCCTGCTGCTGCTGCTTTTCGGATTCGCCTCGGCCGATCTCCAAAGATCAGCTTCCATGCCTCGCCTCCTCCTCCTCCTCCTCCTCCTCCTCCTCCCCTCTGCCGGGCCAGAGGCGTTACGTCCCTGCCCGCGTGTAGCAAGTCCTCTCTGCCCCATTTAGGTCGCCCCGGGACCGTCCACCAGGTCAAACGGCGTCACGCGATGCGTCCCAAAGAAGGCCCAATTACTCCGAACCAATCGTCCCGATTTTCGTCACGTTTTTCGCTGGCCGCGCGCCTCTGCGCGTCGGCCGTCCCCAGGCCATCCCCGGGGAAGGGCAGGGGGGGGAAAGGGGGGGGGGGGGGGAGACGGCCTTTTGCTCCTCGGGTGAGAATCATCGTGCACCGTAGGTACGGCAACTCCGTGGCCGCGCAACGTTAGTCGTCGCCCTGGTTCATTTGCGCATCCCAAAGCCCGGGGGGGCTGAACGGGTGTCGGGGAGACGTTAGCGGTGCGGTGTGTTGTGCAGCCAGCCATCGGCAGGCTGCACGAGAAGAAATCTCGCTAACCATGTAACTATCACTTACTT